TGACCCCAGCACTACCTTAAAATAATGTGAATGTAACTCCCTGCCCTTGTACCTTCTGTTGGCTGACCAAAGAAATTCAAGGACCGGGTAGGTTGTTGAAGGCTGAGCAGTCAGGAGATTTCCTCCTGATGCCCTTGATCTTCAGGCCCAGAGAGAAATCTCAGAGTAAAGGAAGGCTTGCTCCCCTCCAAGAAGAGCCAACCTCACAGATATATTAGATGCAGACTAATATATCTTCACGCTACTGAAGAGTTCCTTTATTACCACTCCCAGGGGATCTCAGTGTTGGCGCTGAGGCCATGAACTAATTGACAGTGATGATGCTGGGGAGGGGGGTGACGTGAAGGGCAGCAGAGAAGCTAAAATTAAATGACGAAAGACCTTGCCAACAGGAGTGGGTTCAGAAACTATGAACTATCTTGGGGATCAATGAGAAAGAGAGAATCAAATAATGAGCATTCATTTCCAACTCCATGGGATCTTCCCAACCCAGGGATCAGACCCATGTCTCCTGCATTGGCAGGCAGATTCTTTACCACTGCGCCACCTGGGAAAAGTTAATAATGAGCATTTAAATTCACCAAAACACTACTGCTGCACCGGAAGATGTTTCATTTTTGTTGTTTTTAAAATAAATTTTCTGTTGGGTCCATTGCTTAAACCCTTTTACTCACAAGCCTAGTGGCAACCTGTCAAAGAATTAGGCATCACAGGAAGCATTATCTCTACTTATTTATACATCTACCCACCTACCATCTATCCACCATTCCTCTACCTACTTACCTAAGTACATCTGCATAAAATTGTACAAAGCACTATCTATCTATACTAACCTTGGGGCACATACATCAAGTTCATCCCTGCAGCTTTTCTGAGCATTAGTAAGTCTTTCTACTGGTTCAGTTCAGTTCAGTCACTCAGTCCTGCCCAACTCTTTGCGACCCCATGGACTGCAGCATGCCAGGCTTCCCGGTCCATTACCAACTCCCGGAGTGTGCTCAAACTCATGTCCATTGAGTCAATAATGGCATCCAACCATCTCATCCTCTGTCGATGCCAAAGCAAATTTTTTTTAACTTTTTGTGGAAAAATAGAGAGGTTGAGAAGATAGATTCCAATGTCATATGGCCCCAAGTCTGACACTCACCAGTGCTAGGTCTTGCATGTCTTTGGACAAGTTACTTAACCTCTCTAACCCTTAGGGTCCTCATATGGAAGTTGGATGTCATGAAAAGCCCATGGAATAATGGCATTTGAGGATTCAGTGGGGGAAATCAGTTCTTGGCAAATGGTAAAGGTCAGTAGAGTGGGGGACACACCAGCACTGCTAACCAAATTCAAACTCCTTTCAGACATTCTTTTTGCATCTCTAGATCACTTGGTTCCCGGGTAACCACCATCTGGAGACAAGAAAGGCATTCACCACCGCAAGTCATGGAGTCCTCTGTACCCCCCCGGGACAGCCTGCCAAGAGAAAACTGACCCCAGGGATTATTCAACTTCCTCATTCATTAATCTGACTGTCAAGCAGAGAAAGTCCTACTGATGCCAACGGATGCAAAGTTTGGCTGTGCTGACTGCAGAGAGCAGAAGAGGCCTCGGCAGCCAATCAAAGCCTCTCCCCCAACTGGGCACAGCTGCCTGGGAACACTGGGTGGGGCCGAGGCAGTGAGTACTAGGGAGACAGGGGATGCGTGGAGGGCCGGGGCCCCAGCTGGCCCAACGTCCTGATGCAGACTGAGCCCTGGGCAAGCCACGCCACTGCAGCCCAATGTATGGACACAGCTCACAATGAAATCGCGAAGTTAGGCCCACCTGTGGCACCTGTTTTCCAGGACAGAGCAGGTGATGCCTTTCTTAGGAGCAAAGGGCACTGGGGCAGGAAGGAGTCGGAGAGGGCAGGGGGCGCTGACCCAGGGCTCAGGGCATATCCTCCACTCACCTCTGCCTGGCTGGCTCTTCCACGCTCGGCCACATCTGCCATCTTACTCAGGCCATATGGGTGATATTTGGGGCACCGCATTCTGCCAGAAAACCTCTCCTCTGCCCCTCTCGTCTGCCCTGCCTGCAGGCAGCTGAAGAAGATCTCGTGAGTCCCACGATGGGCTGAGGCCCAGCACAGAGTCAAAGCTGGCCACAGGCTTGTGCCAACAGTTACAAAGAACACATTTGCACTTTGGTTGGGTTCCAACATCTTTTTAACATCAGAAATCAGAACTCGGGGAAAGACAACAGTATCCTATGGCTCCCCAAAGACCAAGTGCCAGATGAGACTGATGCACTGTTGTCTGGAGACAAATTGAGTCATTTCCCCAGTGACATGGCACCAGGGCAAAAAGCCAGCCGCGTGCCACAGCCGGCTGTATGCAAACCAGGGCTCAGGTACCTGGGGCCCATGGACATAACTGTGGAAGAGCTCACCATATAGGTGGAGAATTGTGCATGGGAACAGTCACGCATAACATACTAGCCAGAGCCAGGGCACACAGACTGTTCCTTCCCATGGAGGTTTTGCAGGAACAGCAGGGCAATTTCCATAGTGAAAGATGCAGCTGGGGCAAGGACAGAACCATCCAGAACCATCTAGAACCATGTAGGCTGCAGCCACTCCATCCCAGATTGGCTTTCAGAATTCTGGGTGCAGACTGTGTGCCCAGGGATTTTCTGAGTCATAAATTTTCTCTCTGGGGAAAGACTGATAGAGAAGGGCCAGCATCTCATAATCCATAGGGTACACCGGGGAGAGACACATTTCCCAAAGCACAACACACATAAATCTGAGAGGATGCTGTGATTGAGTTTAAAGGGCACCCAAAGGAGCTTTTTAATTTTATTAATTCAATATTAAAAGTTTTGCAAAAAAATAAAAACATAACTGGCTCATCAAACTTGTAATTTCACCAATATTATTCCCTGAGATAGCATTTCTCAACCTCGGCCCTACTGACATTTTTCAGGCAAGATAATTTTTCCTGTGGGGGTGTCCTGCGCCTTGTAGGACATTTAGCAGCCTCTCTGGTCGCTACCCACTAGATGCCAGTAATGAATCCCCTCCAAGGTGAGATAACCAAAAATGTCTTCAGACATTGCCAAACATCCTCTGAAGGTCAAAGACACTCCTGATGGGGAATCAGCAGTTTAGGGTAAGTCTACTTCTGAAAGTAAAACAAGTTAATGTCAGGGAAAATGTATTGTAGGTGACTTAGGATAAACAAAATACAATTCACATATGGCAAACGTGGCTGAGGTGACAGCCACATCACCTCCTGACCTGCAGGAGTTTGGGGAAAAGCAGACGAGAGGATGGCCAAACAGGAGCTAAAATTGGGTATTTATCCCCTTAAAATCCCATCACTGCTCCTTCATGCTGGCTCTGTTTTCGGGCCATCCCTGAAGTCCACTGGGCTTCCCTGGCAGCTCAGATGGTGAAGAATCTGCCTGTAATGAGGGAGACCCGGGTTTGATCCCTGGGTTAGGAAGATCCCCTGGAGAAAGGAATGGCTACCCACTCCAGTAGTCTTGCCTGGAGAATTCCAGGGACAGAGGAGCCTGGTGGGCTACAGTCCATGGGTCCGTAAAGAGTCGGACACGACTGAGTGACTAATACTTCTGAAGCCAGCTAAGGAAATGGAGGTGGGGAGAGGACAAAAGAGCCCGAAGGAACCCTGAGAATCCACTTTCCTCACAGCTCCTGGCCTTCCATGAAGGAAGGAGGAGTAGGGTGGGCTTGCCTCTCACTCCCCTGGGGGAACAGGGCAGAGATGCTTGTGATGAGGATAACGAGTGGGAGGCAGGTGGTCCCTGGACCTGCAGGAGTCACTGAAGAGCCTTGAGAAGTTCAGCTACGCTCGTCTGCCTGTCTCACACTCTGTTAGCCGTGGGGTGCTGGCTGGGGTGCACCCCGTCTTCTCTTTTTAGTATCTGAGCAACCCACAGAACTAAGGAAACAATCAATCCAAAGATACGCCTCCTTATATTCACAGACTTAGAAAACGAACTTGTGGTTGCCAGTGGGAAGCGATAATTAGGGAGTTTGGGATGGACATATCACACTGCTGTATTTACAATGGATAGCCAACAGGGACCTACTGCAGACCACACGGATTTCTGCTCAATGTTATGTGGCAGTCTGGATGGGGGGGTAGTTTCGGGGAGAATGGATACATGGGTCTGTATGGCTGAGTCCCTTCAGTGTCCACCTGGAACTATCACAGTTTTTGATAATCAGCTACACCCCAGTACAAGATAAGAAGTTTAAAAGAAAAACAAAAACAAAGATACACCTCCTGCAAGCCCCATGAGAAAGGGAAGCATTCCACTGGTTTAAAAAGCTAACACTCACACGCACTTAGCGTGTATTGATGACTTTACAGACACTCTACCTTGCCATCCTCATCACAGCCCTGCAGGGCGGGCACTATTCCCATGGTAACAACATTCCAGATGGGGAGACGGAGGCTGAGCGGGTCAGGGCGCTCAGGGCCAGAAGACACAGCTCCAGGGCTCCACCTGAGTCTGCTGGACTCACAGCTGCCCAGGAAAGCAGAAGCATACAGTAAGGGCCCTCCTTACAAGACCCACTGGTCACCCACCCCACACAGGAGCGCCACTGTGATTCAGATGTCCCAGAATGGCCCGATGCACAAGCAGGCACAAGGATGCAACTAACAGCCCAAGGGAGAGAGTTCTCCAAACCCGAGGCAAGAACAAGCAGCTGCCCCCCACCGCATGGCTCCTCCCTGTCTTCTGCTCTCTGTGTTCACCTCCTCGTGACCAATGGGTGGAGGAAAATTCAGAAAAACAAGTCTGATTCTTCCCACGGTGCTTTCAGAACCTGGGTGCACACACAATGTCTCAACAGGACAGAGAGACAGCTGTTATGTGTCTGTCCCATTTTTCTGAGTCCTGGAGCCAAGAGGATGTTGATAAATGCTCCCTGGAGAGGGGGTTCTGGAGCATCAGGGCAGAGGAGGTGAGACAGACCATGGGGAGGTACTCACCTGGGTCTCCAGGGTGATCACTGGGCTTGGTTGTGGGTCCTGTGGGGAAAAAAGGAGAAAATGCGTGTGAGTGGTGGGGAAATGTAACTTCTACCCCGGCACCACTTTAAAACAAAGCTGTACCTCCGCAGTGCGCAAGCAACCACACGGGGAGGGCGGCCCCATTCTGTCGCCCCCATTCCATGCGACATTCTCCACCTCCTCCCACACCCACATGAGGAAGGAGGATAAAATCTTTCACTGGGAAGTTGCAGGGATACCCGCAGGAGATCACGCAAGAAGACGAAGTGCAAGTGTAAAGAAAAAACGAACAAAGCCCCCTCGCAGAGCATCTCAAAGTGTGTTCAAATCATTGATGGGAAGGAGAAGATGGGTCCACAAGAGGGTTAGAAAAAAACCTGAAAGGATATAAAGTCCCCATGAGGGGCAAGGCCACCACTGTGTCTGATCTGGGAAAGAATGAGGGAAGGAATGAGACAGAGGGAAAAGAACCAGCTTAATTCCCAGTCTGTGTGGCACATTCCAAGGGGGCTGGGGAAGATTCCTTTCAGGAGAGAGAAGGCCAGAGAAAGTCCCATTCATTCACTTGGGACAAAAGCCAATTGACTGGAAATGCTCGGGTCATTAAACGTGAACTCCGGGGTGGGGGCAGGGTGGGTACAGAGGAGGAAGGGACGCCTGGAGAGGAGGTAGCGGTTTTCAGCAAGTGGATTCCAAAGAAAACAGGAAGCTCAGCACATAAAGGCTATTTTTGTCTGGACTGTGTTGGCCCTGCACTTAATCATCTTGGGTTCATGATTCTGGGAAAGTAACCTCAAGCTGCCTCTGACTGAGAATGGGCATGATCTTAGAGCCCCGAAGGGCAAACTCAATTGGAAGCTTTGCTTTATCTAAGCAGATTTTCCAACACAGGCTTCCAGAAAGCAGGCAAATTCGCCCCAGCCCCCTGGCCTCTGCTGTGAACAAGGAGGAAATGTAGAAATCATGCCTTATGTGTCTTTCTGTGATGGGCTTATTTTACTTAGCACAATGCCCTCAAGGTTCACCCGTGTTGTTACAAATGGCAGGATTTCCTTCTTGTCTGAAGGCTGAATAATATTCCACTGTGTATATACATGGGGTTTCCCAAGTGACTCAGTGGTAAAGATCTGCCTGCCATTGCAGGAGCCGCAGGAGACTCAGGTTTGATCCATCCCTGGGTCAGAAGATCCCCTGGAGGGGTAAATGTCAACCCATTCCAGCTTTCTTGCCTGGAAAATCCCATGGACAGAGGAGACTGGCAGGCTACAGTCCATGGGGTCACAAAGAGTCGGTCACTCAGTCAGACATGACTGAGCACGCAGGCTGTGCATATATATATATACAACATATTTTCTTTATTCCCCTGTCAATGGACATATCGGTTGTTTCCATGTTTTGGCTATTAAGAATTTGGCTTCTAGGATCATGGGAGTACAGACCTCATAATTCCACTTTTATGAGGCAACTAAAATAAACTCTCAGAGAAGCGGAGAGTAGAAGGGTGGTTGGCTGGGGCTGGAAGGAGAGGGAAAGGGGAGATGCTATGTATCGGGTACAAAGTTTCAGTCCCACTAGCCAAATAAGCTCCAGAGATCTGCTCTAGGACCTAGAGTCTGGAGTTAGCAACATGGCACTGTACACTGAAAATTTCGATCAGAGGACAGACCTCATGTTAAGTGTTCTTTCCATAATTAAAAAAAAAAAGAAAGTGTAGAAAGACTGGAACATCCAAACCCCACACATCCTAAGTAACTGTCACTCACTTTCTGGATCACTGCTCCTCTGTGGCATCTTTATAAGGATGCCTAGTTCTGATGAGTGTCAGACACCTGACCCCAGGAACGCTTTGCTTTCTGGTCTGTTCTGACCTTCCCTTCAAGACAAGGGACTCTTCTCTCCCAATTCCGTTCTAATTCCCAGCATCTCTTCAATGGTGCAGCTCAGAGGTTGATGCCAAGAGGACATCTCCCTCTCATTTTCAGACTCTACCCCGGCACTGAACATTCCTCGCACCCAAGAAGATACTGAGGGCCGTTTTTCCCCTTCTCCCCACACTGCAGTCTTGGCCCACAAAGAAACTTGGAGAAAGACTTCCCTGGTGGTCCAGTGGTTAAGAATCCATCTTGCTATACAGGGGGATGAGGGTTTGATCCCTGCTGGGGGAACCAAGACCCACACTAGAGAGTCCATGTGCTGATGATCCTGCATGACGCAAGGAAGATCCCACGTGCCCCATCTAAGACCCAACACAGCCACACAAATAAGTATTAAAACAACAACAACCTTGAAGAAGTCTTGTAAGAAATACTGCAGCCCTCTGTCTTCAAACCCTTACCAGCTCCTTCTCAAGGGGAAAGAGGTAGGACGGGGTTCTTGAGAACCTTCACTGAACCACTCTTTATTCAAGTGAGGCTCATTATTTTAGCATCCTTCATGGAGCCCCCCAGCCAGCTCCTGTATCACTTGTCTGCAGAGAGAGTGAACACTTGGGCTCCCAGTCTCCCAGGGTCAGTTAAGTACACTGCACGGGGCCCATTCTAGTCCGGGGGGCAAGGCCGTGGTCCCGGCCCATGTTGGGCAGCATGGGTCAGATCCACGCTGTTTAGTGCGAGATAGCAAGTCTACGCTTCAGCTCAAGTCAGTCTCTTGTGTGTCTGTCTGTCCCTCTGTTTACTCCGATCCTAGCATCCAGATTTTGACTGGAAGATAAGAAGCTGCTTCTCAGACATTAGCTTCATTTTTTAAGGCCAGGTCCTTGCAAAGCATTGGACGGGGTGTTGGGTGCATGCCCAGATTAATTAAGCTGTACTTCACAGCCCATTTGGCTGTTGTTTGGGGCTTACGCTTCACTGCTCTGAATCCCACGGGGGAGGCAGGGGAGAGGGGAGAAGGCCATCCTGAACCCCATGAACAACTTCACTGGAAAAGACCTTCCCGGAAACCTACAGAAAATCTCTGACATCCGTGTTGACAAAACCCAGAGCCTGATCCAGGGGTACAGTGCTGCGCCAACTATTTGGTGTTCCATAATCAGAGATCCTCTGGGTGCAGGGTCAGAGGATTAATATTCATTAAAAAGCTTCTGGAAAAACAAAAGCAAAAATGCTATTTATTTAGCATGTTAATTACCTAGCCAAGAAAACAGACAAAGTAACTCACAAACGGCCAAGTCATTAACACTTAAGATTCACTGGCCAACAAGCTCACATTTGTTGTGCACATTTGAGATATGAGACTCTCCCTACAGAGGCTCAGACCAGAGGATTCAAGGTATGACGGTATCTCTGTGAGGTCTCACTTTCAGTAACATCCTCCTTAATTGGAAAGGCTAACGAAGTGGAACCGGGTCAATGATGCTGTCTGCCTAATCCATCGCGTCTGTCTAAACTGAGACTCTTTGGTTTACAGTAGAGTAAATTCCTGTCTGTCAGAGGAAAGGCTCCCGGAGACCAACGGGGAATTTGCAACGTGCTCGGATGCTACAGTGGAGAGCTTTTAGAATCTTAATGTGGGGACCAAGAACCAGGGAACCACCTACAGCAAGGAAAGCCCTTTCATATCATCTACTGCAAAGACTAAAGTGGGGAAGCCCAGTGGGGAACTGGGTAGACAGAATTAGTGGCCCTCATTTTCACTGCTCCCTCGATCCACACCCTCTGGTCACATGATCGTGCATTTCTTTGCAGAGCAAGCTTCCTCCTCCTCAAACTTGGGCTTGCCCATTAGCAGTTAAGACATCGTGGAAGCTTGAAATGTGTGTGCTTGATTGAGCATGACCTCTTGTGCTTTTGCTATCAGCACAGGAGAATACATCCCAGGTAGCCTGCTGGTCCAAGGGGGATGAGAAGCACTCGTGGCAGACCCGATCCAGTCTGCAGCTTGAAGCTAAGTCCAGCCTCGATTAGCCAACCCCAAGCCAACCTTCACTCACAGACAGAATATGTGCCTGTTGTCTCAAACCATTGAGTTTCAGGTTGACTTGTTACACAGTGCCGTTGTGGTAAATATACTCTCCAAGGTAGACCTTGATAGAAATAAAATGTATTGTATAAACAGTCCAGCCTTGTAAACAAAAAGATACATACTCTCCCTAAGCCTGCAAATACATCCCAGGAACCTGCAATAACTACAGCTAATAGCTATCATTTCCTGAGACCCTACTATGTACCAGGCCCCATTCGAGATGTACATTATACCAAGCAAAGAAACACTCACTATCAGTATCGGGTACGACCTCTGAGTCAGCCTTCAGCCCTCTTCACTAAATATACCAGTTCTTCTGAATTTGTTTAGGTGCCATTACAACATATTGGGGCTTCCCTGGTGGCTCAGATGGTAAAGAATTCACTTGCAGTGCAGGAGACCCAGGTTTGCTCCCTGGGTCAGGAAGCTCCCCTGGAAAAGGGAGTGGCTACCCACTCCAGTATTCTTGCCTGGAGAATTCCATGGACAGAGGAGCCTGGCGGCTTACAGTCCAAGGGGTCACAAAGACTCGGGCATGACTAAGTGACTAACATTTTCAGTTTCACAACAACATTAATGGGGATCATCACTCAGAACCTCCTTGCTCTGAGATAAAGACATTTCTCATTCCTTTGGTTTATTCTAAACTTTATTCCATAGGCATATTATTTGACCAAGATTCAGAATAGTCATGAATACTAGTAGTAACTTACTAAGTTACTTGTTAAGTATTGGCTAACAATTTAACTTTATACCATGTTTCAGGCAGTGGTTTAACCTGTATACACACATCATTCCATTTGCCCCTTGTAACAACTTTATGGCAGGCACTAGCATTATTCCCATTATAGAGATGGGGAAACTCATGACCACAGGGATTGAATAACTTGTTCAAGTGTACACAGATAGTGCTGAAGCCTGGATTCGATCCCAGCGCCCTGTATTCAAGAATCTTGTGCTATTTTAGGGTAGCTCTATCAGAGAATGCAGCCCCACCTTACACAAAGTAATCCTGCAACCTAGATAAGGTCTATCAAAGGGAAGAATACAGGAAG